ATCCTTCCTCCATTGCATGCTTTTAGCCCCTTTATCAAATATAAGATAGTTGTAGTTTTGTGGATTAGTTACTGTGTCCTCTATTCTGTACCATTGGTCCACCCGCCTGTTTCCACCAACAGAATTTAAAATTAGGACGTATAAGAAACTTAGACTTTATCCTTGGGCCATAGGAGCCATCACTTGTAGGAGGCATTCAATAAATGAACTAATCAATAGTATACTTAGATTACTAAAGGGGAATAATTTTAATACAAGGCCTATTGTACTATATCTAAACCGATAAATACCACTCAACTCACTGGTTTGTACTCCTTTTTCCAACTCACACAGTCTCCCATTAGCCTCCACTAACTTCCCTTTCCAGTACAAACTCATGACTCCTTATTCCAGTCTGCTTGGGTCTTTATAACAGACTGCTGGATCAGACCAGAAAGGACTAAGCACTGGTCATAACATCTAGTTCTTCTGATTTTTCTAGGAATATATGTATATGATGGGATTGAACAGCTGGCCGCACTGGGTTGCTTGGTTCATCACATTCTTCATTTCTGTCTTCATTGCTGTTTCTATCATGACCATTCTCTTCTGCACAAAGGTACATGTCTTGTTCTTTAGGACATGCTAATCTATGAATGGGTGGGAAAGAAATGTGGTTTGGTGTGGTTATTGGTGACTGCTTGGAAAACCTCAGGTTGATACATGGCGGTGTTCACTGAAACTTTGGGGAATTAAGCAATTAGAATCTTTGCCTTCCTTCAGTTTCCTGATCTTCAAGTAGTGTACATGGGTGTGGCTAATTTCATTAGTAAAGTAGAATGCTAAAAGATGTACTTTTGGAAACTTTAAAATAATACAAATTTTAAACTTCACAAATAACTGATAGTAGTTATTATAAATGATAAAAAACTTTGTTTTACATTAATGGTATTATGGCTGTTTGTACTTTTACACAGTCAATGAAATTTTGCCAATTTACATTTAATGACTAAATTATAACCCCCTATTTGGATATATGAAAATTTATCTCCTAAATTGCTAAAATTATGTCAGTATGGGCAAAGGAAGGCAAGAAAACCCAGACCAAGTAGCAAAATATAGGAAACAAATAAAATGGCCAGAAAATACTAAAACAATATCATAATAAATAGGATATAAGATATAAAAATAAATACCAAATTTATCTGTTGTAATGATAATGAAAAGTGGGATAATTTATTAAAAGAAAGAAACATCTACATTGGGTCAAAAATTAAATCTAACTGGGTACAGTAGCACATGCCTATAATCTCAGTGACACAGGAGCCTGAGACAGGAGGATCCCAAGTTTGAGGCCAGCCTTAGCAATTTAATGAGTCTCTCAGCAACTTAGCAAGACCCTGTCTCAAACTAAAAAAATAAAAAGAGCTGGGGGTGTAGCGCATGATAAAGCACCTCTGGGTTCAATCCCTAGTGGCAAAAACACAAACAGACTCACAAATTTAAATCCAAACCTATGCTTTCCTCCCACAAAAAAAAAAAAAAATACATGTACAGAGCATAATTTGTAAATGATAGAGGATGCTGACCAAATATCAGTCTCAAAAATTGAGTATAACCCAGGTGTGACAGCACATATCTGTAATCTCAGCAATTTGTGAGGTTGAGACAAGAGGCTGGCAAGTTCCATGCCAGCCTTGGCAACTTATCAAGACCCTGTCTCAAAACAAAAAATAAAAAGGTGTGGGATTGTAGCTCAGTGGTTGAGCACCCCTGAGTTTGATCCCCAGTGCCCCCCCACCACACGCACACAAAACTGTGTATATTGTTTACTTTAAGATATCTTGAATTTTAAAAACATTTTGTGCAATGTTTTATGAGGCACTTTATGGTTTCTCCACATTCTTTCCATGTAAACATTATAGATCTGTGGATTGTTTTCTAGGTGGAAAACATGGCTGTGTTCAAGAATAGTGATCCTAGTTTGATTTTTGTTTTTCTAATGTGTTTTGCTGTTGCTACAATTTTCTTTGCATTCATGATCAGCACATTCTTCCAAAGAGGTGAGTTCTTTATATAATTTATATAATTTTCTATCAGAGGGTGTTTATGATTTTTTTAAATGGAAGCAATGTCGTTTCTATCACCTATATTATGGATACCCACATTCAAAAGAATGGACATGGACATCTACATCACGATCATACATATTAATTAAAATGATTAGGGACTGGGGTTGTGGCTCAGTGGTAGAGCACTTGTCTAGCATGTATGAGGCACTAGGTTCGATTCTCAGCACCACAAAAAAATAAATAAATAAAGGTATTGTGTCCAACTACAAACTAAAAACATAAAAAATAAAACAGAAGTGGTGAAAGAGGGGATCCCTGTCTTGTTCCAGTTTTTAGAAGGAATGCTTTCAATTTTTATCTATTTAGAATGATGTTGGCCTGGGGCTTAGCACAGATAGCTTTTACAATGTCGAGATATGTTCCTGATATCCCTAGTTTTTCTAGTGTTTTGAACATGAAGGGGTACTGTTTTTTGTCAAATGCTCTTTCTACATCTATTGAGATGATCATATGATTCTCTTAAGTCTATTGATGTGATAAATTACATCTATTGATTTCTATATGTTGAACCAACTTTGCATACCTGGGATGAAACCCACTTGATCATGTGCACTGTCTTTTTGGTATGTTTTTGTATTTGATTTGCCAGAAGTTTATTGAAACTTTTTGTACCTGTGTTCATTGTATCTGGTCTGAACTTTTCTTTCTTTGATGTGTCTTTGCCTGGTTTTGGAATCAGGGTGATATTGGCCTCATAGAATGAGTTTGGAAGTGTTCCCTCATTATCTATTTCACAAAATAATTTGAAAAGTATTGGTATTAGTTCTTCTTTGAAGATCTTGTAGAACTCAGATGTGTATCCATCAAGTCCTGGGCTTTTCTTGCTTGGTAGGCTTCTGATGGCGTCTTGTATTTCTTTGCTTGAAATTGATCTGTTTAAATTGTGTATATCATCCTGATTCAATTTGGGCAAATCATATGACTCTAGAAATTTGTCAATGCCTTCAATATTTTATATTTTATTAGAGTACAAATTTTCAAAATAATTTCTAATTATTTCTGTGTTTCTGTAGTGTCTGTTGTAATATTTCCTTTTTAATCACGTTTGTTAGTAATTTGGGTTTTCTCTCTCCATTAGCATGGCTAAGGGCTTATCAATTTTTTTATTTTTTAAAAGAACAAACTTTTTGTTATGTCAATTTTTTCAGTTGTTTCTCTTAATTTCATTGATTTCAGTTCTGATTTTAATTATTTCCTGTTTTCTACTGCTTTTGGTGTTGTTTTTCTTTTTCTAAGGCTTTGAGATGTAATGTTAGGTCATTTATTTGTTGTCTTTTTTATTCTTTTAAGGAATGAACTTTCCTCTTAGTACTGCCTTCATAGGGTCCCAGAGATTTCATATGTTGTATCAGCATTCTCATTCACCTCTAAGAATTTTTTTAAAATATTTTTTTTAGTTTATTTATTTTTATGTGGTGCTGAGAATCAAACCCAAGGTCTCTCACGCACAAGGCGAGCGCTCTACCACTGAGCCATAACCCCAGCCCCATACGAATTTTTTATCTCCTCTTTGGTATCTTTTGCAACCCCTTGTTCATTCAGTACTACATTATTTAGTCTTCAGGTATTGGAATAGCTTTTATTTTTATTTTTTCATTTATTTCTAATTTCATTCCATTATTATCTGATAGAATGCAGAGTAGTATCTACTTTTTTGTGTTTGCTAAGAGTTGCTTTGTGGCATAATATACAGTCTATTTTAGAGGAGGATTCATGTGCTGCTGATAAAAAAGTGCATTCGCTCATTGATAGATGAAATATTCTATATATGTCAGTTAAGTCTAAGCTATTGATTGTATTATTGAGTACTATAGTTTCTTTGTTCAGCTTTTGTTTGGAAGATCTATCCCTTGGGGAAAGAGTTGTGTTAAAGTCATCCAGAATTATTGTGTTGTGGTCTATTTGACTCTTGAACTTGAGAAGAGTATGGTGAACGTAGATGCTCTGTTGTTTGGGGCATATATATTTATAATTATTATGTCTTGTTGGCATATGGTTCCCTAGAGCAGTTTGAAATGTCCTTATTTATCCCTTTTGTTTAACTTTAGCTTGAAGTCCACTTTATTTGACATGAGGATGGAAAGCCCTGATTGTTTCTGCAGTCCAAGTGAGTGGTATGATTTTTTCCAACCTTTCACCTTCAGTCTATGAATGTCTTTTCCTATGAGATGAGTCTCTTGGAGGCAGCATATTGTTGGGTCTTTTTTTTTTTTAATCCAATATGCCAATTTATGTCTTTTTTTAAAAAATTATTTTTAGTTGCAAATGGACACAATACCTTTATTTTATTTGTTTTTATTTTTATGTGGTGCTGGGGATAGAACCCAGTGCCTCACTCATGCTAGACAAGCACTCTACCACTGAGCCACAATTCCGGCCCCAAGTCTATGTCTTTTGATTGGTGAATTTAGGCCATTAACTTTCAGGATTATTTTTGAGACATGATTTGTATTCCAAGCCATTTTGTTTATTTTTGGTATTTAACTTGACTTGTTTTCTCCTTTGATTAACTTTTCCTTTAGTGTAATACTTCCCTCTGCTGATTTTCATTTCCTCCTCTTGGAAAATTTTGCCGAGGATGTTCTATAGTACAGGCTTTCTAGTTATAAATTCTTTTAACTTTTGTTTATCATGGAAGATTTTTATTTCATCATCAAATCTAAAGATTAATTTTGCTGGACATAAGATTCTTGGTTGGCATCCACTTTCTTTCAGAGCTTGGTAAATGTTGTTCCAGGATCTTCTAGCTTCAGGATCTGGATTAAAAAATCTCCACATATCCTAATTGTTTTTCCCCCTATATGTAATCTGATTCCTTTCTCTGGTGGCTTTTAAAATTTTTCTTCTTATTCTGTATGCAAGGCATTTTCATTATAATGTGCCTTGGTGTGGATCTGTTGTAATTTTGTACATTTGTTGTCCTGTAAGCCTCTTATATTTGGTTTTCCAATTCATTCTTCATGTTTGGAAAATTTTCTGATATTATTTCATTGAATAGATTGTTCATTCCTTTGATTTGGAACTCTATGCCTTCCTCTATCCCAATAACTCTTAAATTTGGTCTTTTTATGTTATCCCATATTTCTTTAATGTTCTGCTCATGGTTTCTTAGTATCTTCACTGTGTGGTCAACATTCGTTTCAAGATCATTTTGTCTTCATTATCTGAGGTCCTGTCTTCCAAGTGGTCTAATTTGTTAGTGATGCTTTCAATTGAGCTTTTGATTTGTTTATTGTTTCTTTCATTTCAAGGATTTCTGTTTGGTTTTATTTCAGAACCTCTATCTCCCTATTGAATTAATCTTTTGCTTCCTGTATTTGCTTATGTAGCTCTTTATCAAAATGATCTTTTGCTGCCCATATTTCTATTATATCATTCTTTAATTCACAGAACATTTTAGTTTTGTACATCCTGAACTCCCTCTCTGGCATTTCTTCTGTTGTCATGGCCATGGATTCTAATAATGTAGTATCTTGATTTGTTTGGGGCACTTTCTTCCCATGTTTTTTCATGTTGTTTGTATGTCTTCCCTTCTAACACTGCAGATCCATGGCATTACTGTTTTTACCTATAGGCTTATAGTGCCCCTGCAGGTTTCTAATACCTCTCCTTTGAGGGGAAGATCAATTGTTAACAGAACCCAATATAAACAATATACAACCTTAAACCAAATAGTTGCTATTAAGGTGTTTCTGGTTTAGTCACAATTTACAGAAATGGTGAGTTCAATTATAATCTACATTATAAACAGTAGGTTTGCAAGAGTTTTCAGTTTCCAATGGTGGACAAAGAATTTGGGGGTGGGGGTGGGTGAAGGGTAGGATGAGATTCTTGAGGGGGTAGGAGGTGAGGATATAGAGTTATTAGATCTTAGGAAGTTTGAAAGGAATCTAAAGAAGATGGTTAGTAGCAGGAGAAGAGAGAGGAAGTGATTTTGGGTAGACAAGTTGTTGGGGAGATGGTAGAGTACCTAAAACAAACACACATAAATATTAAGAAAAGTAAAAATCGAACCCAGTGCCTCACACGTGCCACGCAATTGTGTTACCGCTAAACCACAGCCACAGCCTATATTTTCAATTCTTATTCTTTTAACTTTCTAGGAGTTAAACATCTGTATTTTATTTGAGTTTAGCTCCCAGATGTCAGCCAGATTGGCCTTGTATCCAAATTTTGAGCCACTATGTCTACAGACTGAAAAACCTTGAATTCTTTACCATAACTCACTAGTTTCAAGACATTAAACAAATTTATTTTGTGTGACTAAGCTTCATTTTTCTCCTCTGAAAAACAGGGAAGTTATGAAGATTCAATAGGATGATGTATATATATATATATATATATATATATATATATATATATATATATATATATAAAGTACTTGGCATATTGCCTGGTAGGAATTAATAGCTGCTTTTCAAACTACCACTCATCTTTGAAGAAGAGGGCTTTTGTTGTAGGAGAAATTAATGCAGTTTTAAAGAGAGAAAGTTTTACACAGATATTTATGCCTTTATATAAAGGTCATTTCACATTTTAAGTGCTACAAATATTTTTCATCTTAATCCAGTGAGTGTACGACTATAAAAGGTCTCTATCAAAATTTTTTAAGAGATTGCTTCTTCTCTGAAATGCTGAGACAAACACAGAGATACTTGCCTTACTGTGGCAGGGAAAAAAAGGATATGTCATAGTTCTTTGTGCATTACTAATGAAATTCTTGATATCTTCCATCTAAATTTGCAGCACACGTTGGAACTGCCTCAGGAGGTATCATCTTCTTCTTCACCTACCTCCCCTACCTGTACCTCACTTTCAGCTATCACCAGAGGAGCTACTTTGAAAAGATAACCTTTTGTCTCTTCTCAAATGTTGCCATGGCAATGGGAGTCCACTTCATGTCCATGTTTGAGGCAAAAGGTGAGATTTATCTTTCCCAAGCTCTCTCAAGGGTAGTGCCTGGATGTTTTGCCCCAGGCAAGGCTGACCTTCATTTTTTTTTTTAAAGAGAGAGTGAGAGAAGGGAGAGAGAGAGAGAGAGAGAGAGAGAGAGAGAGAGAGAGAGAGAGAGAGAGAGAGAATTTTTAATATTTATTTTCTAGTTTTTTAGTTCTCGGCGGACACAACATCTTTGTTGGTATGTGGTGCTGGGGATCGAACCCAGGCCGCACGCATGCCAGGCGAGCACGCTACCGCTTGAGCCACATCCCCAGCCCATGACCTTCATTTACCAATAAATATAACTGACACAGTTCATTCAGTGTTCTGAACATTTATATTATTCTTAGAACTGTGGTAGATACTTTGTGCAACTCTAAGGAAATACACAATATGGTTCAAACCATACAATTTACAGTAAAATTGGAAAGCTGTTTGTGATGACACATGTCTATAATCCCAGCTACTTGGGAGGCCAAGGCAGGAGGATCACAAGTTCAAGACCAACTTGGGCAACATAATGAGACTGTGAAAAGGGCTGGGGATGTAACTCAGTGGTAGAGCACCCCTAGTTCAATCCCCAGTAGTGAAAGAAAAAAAATAACCAACATATTTGGGGAAAAGAACTAAATCATATTAAATAATTAGGAAATTAGAATTGAATGTGGTGGTGTGCACTTGTAGTCCCAGCTATTTGAGAGGCTGAGGGAGGAGAATCACTTGAGTTCAGAAGTTTGAGGCTAGCCTGAGCAACATAGCAAGACTCTGGCTCAAAAAAAAAAAGAATTAGGAAATTAAATGCCTATGTAATTATAGATACAAAATATGGAGACTTATGATTAGAAGCTTGGATAATACTTTAAAACTTTACAGATATATATCATATATTATTCTTATTGCCTTTAGTGTTTCTTCTTTTTTTAATGAGTTCTCTTTTTTAAAGACTTTTTAAATATCTTTATTTATTATTTATTTTATTTTTATGTGGTGCTGAGGATCAAACCCAGGGCCTCACACCTGCAAGGCAAGCACTCTACCACTGAGCTACAGCCCAGCCCCTAGTGTCTCTTCTTTCACAGGTTGATCTAGGAGACTATATTAGTCAGTTTCATGTTACTATAATAAACTACCTGAAATAATTTACTTACAAAGAGAATGGTTTGTTTTGCTCACAGTTTGGAGGTTATAGTTGAAGAGCAGGTAGCCTCAGTGCTTTGGGCCTCTCGGAGGTTGACACATCATGCTGATATGACTATGTAGAACAAACTTCCTACATAATAAGGAAAGGAGTGAAGAAAAAATGAAGAAATTTGGGTCACATAATCCCCTTTAAGGGCACACCCCCTAGTTATCTAAAGATCTCCCACTAAGCCCCATATGCTGAAGATTCTACCTCTCTATATGCCGGCTTGAGGAATATGCTTTTAACATGTTCTTTAATCAGGTTTCTATTACTATGACAAAATAACTGAGATAATCAAATTAAAAAGAGGAAATGTTTATAATTCACAATTTTTGAGATTTCAGTCCATTGAAAAGAATGAAAAATATTGACACTAAAATTAAGATACCATAAAGAGAAGACAAAGATAAACAACAGAGTGGGAGAAGATACTTGTAACACATTTAACTGACAAAAGGCTTATATCCAGAATATTTGAAGAACTCATAAAATCAGTTGAAAATGTTATCTTATAGTTCAAAAAGTTAGGTGGAAAATTTTTTAATTAAAATTTAAAAATTAGAAGAAAATACTTGATTAGTCACTTTATGAGAAAGGATACTCAGCTGAGTACAGTGGCACATGCCTGTAATCCCAGCTACTTAGGAAGCTGAGGCAGGAGGATGTTTGAGGAAGTTTGCAAGTTTGAGGCCAACCTGATCAACTCAACCTTATATTTATAATGAATAAAAATAAAGTTAACTGACAATCAAAGGTCTACAGAATTGTGGAAACCTTTATGCTTTTCTTCTACTTGGACACTGTAGACTGTCCTAGATGAGGAGGTCTCTGACTTTCATGAATCATGCATAATTAATGTTTATTGCCACTTTGGAATCAGTCCTGATATGTACAAAATTTTTAACCCAAAATGCAAAAAAAACAGAATGAAAGGCAAATCGGAGACTCTCTTACCCACAAGGACCTTAGAGATTACCTGGCCTCTGCTTTCACAGCATGTCCTGTGACCAGCAGCTTCAGCCCTACTAAAATATTGTTAGACATGCAGAGTCTCAAGCCCACCAAGACAGACCTCATCAGTCTACATTTTAACAGAATTCACAAGTGATTAGTAAGTACCTTAACATTTGGGGAGCACTGAGATAGCCTGTCTGTCTGCTCTCAGTACTTGAATCTTTCCTGTGGTGTTAATGATTTCTAACTCCTCCATCCTTTGTGGAAACAGAAGACATGCAGCATTTTGGATGCTTTAAATGAAAAGCTTTGTCAGCTCATGTTCAGATTAAACACTTGGCTCACACAGGATACATATATACCCAGGAATGGAGCCAAAGCCTTCCTCGGTGCTTTCCTTCATTTGTGGAATAAGTATGTGTTCAGTATCTTCTGTGTAATAGACCCTGACAGTAAATAAGCAGATTCACAATGCAGTGCAGGACCTTTTATGAGTTAATACAGGGTGTTCCAAATGCATATGGGTTGGGTATCTCACTCAAACAAGGAGAGTGGGTACACATGATTCTTGGGTAAGTACTACCTGCTCTGATCTTTAAGGTAAGATTAGCCAACAAAGAAGATGCAAGAGGAGTAGAAAAGCATTCCAGATAGTGTGTGCAGAAATATGGAGATGTGTCTTGGGTCACCCAGTTTCTTTCTTTCTTTTTTTTAACTTTATTTAATTAATTAATTTATTTATTTTTTATGTGGTGCTGAGGATGGAATGCAAGGTCTCACATGTACTAGGTAAGCATTCTACTACTGAGCCACAACCCCAGCCCCCAAGTTTCTTACTTTTTGGTGTCAGTGAAAGCACTACCACCTTTTTGATAATAATAAAAATTCTTTTTCTAGCCTAATGTGTATGTCTATAATACCAGCTACTCAGGAAAATGAGGCAGGAGAATTGCAAGTTCAAAGCAAGCCTGGAAAACTTAGTGAGACTCTGTCTCAGAAGGAAAAATAAAAAAGGGGTGGGGATGTAGCTCAGTGTTAGAGCACTTGCCTAACACTCACAAGGCCTTAGGTTCCATCCCCAATACCACACACACACACACACACAAAGAAAAAAAAACAGCAACAACAATAACAACAAAAGTTTAGCTCTTAGACACAACTCCTCTATCTCTCTCTTTCCCTATGTCTCATGTTGGTCCCATAATGCCCTAGCAGAAACTGGCCTGTTTCCTGACTCTTATTGGATAGGTCAGTTGGCTTCTCTGCCTTTGATGTAGTGAATGTCCTCCTTCCTTTGTAACAGGCACAGGCATCCAATGGAAGAATATGGGCAGTATCCGTGGAGAGTTTAGTTTCATTCAGGTGATGCTGATGCTCCTGCTGGATTCATTATTGTACTGTGTAATAACCTGGTATGTGGAATCCGTTTTCCCAGGGAAGTTTGGGATACCCAAGCCTTGGTACTTCTTTGCCATGGTGAGTTCTAATGCTGCTGCTTTATAGATGGATGTTAGGCTTTTTATTATTTGTCATCAATATTCCTACATCTCTCAGTGATGTCCTGATCAAAATCTCATCCTCAGGAGGTCTCTGGCCAGGGTTCATTCCAAACCATTAGCTTGTAGCTGCCAGTGGTGCATAATTAACACTGAGTCTTAGTTTCCCTGATTCTTGCCCCACTGCTGGGGTGAGGTGTCAGTACCATGTAGTCTCCCCCGGAGTGCCTGCGATGCCTTAACTTGGGCCTACTAAGTATCAGGTCCCATATTCTCCTATAGGACTCAATGTCCAACATGCTAGAGATCCCACATACCCTTTCCCCATTGAGGTGTGCTGATGAGGTGGCCCTGAAGTTCTTTGAGACCTCTGTGCCATCTCTCAAGGCTCTAAAAAGGCCACCGTTTTCCTTCTCTCCCATGATAACTAAGTTTTTCTTACAAGTTAAGTGACTTAGTCTGCTGCAGTGGCCTCTGGTGGCCACAGACCTGTAGGATCTTGACTGAATCACACAGGCACTTGTTGGGACCTCTGCCAAGACTTCCTCGCTTCCATTCTCGGAGTGTGGGGAAATGGGTAGGGTTACTTCTGGTATTTCTCTAGGTTTCAGCCCAGACTGCTGTCTTAGTAGTTTTCTAAGTACCTTGAGCCTAGAGATTAGTTAGTTAGCTTTCCTAGCTCATTCCTCTGGACCATGGGTTATAGATTGAAATGCAGTTGACTGGTAATGAGTCCACAAGTGAGCTGATGAACTTTCTCAGGCATCATTAAATATTTGATATGAGTAAACTGCAGGTCAGAGAGAGAAGATTTAACTTACCACAGTATTTATCTTCCAGAAGATAAAGTCAGTCCACCTATATGATTAATGTATAGGTTGACTTCCTCTGCAGCCCTCCTACTGGCATGGGAAGCCTATTCCAGTTACACATGCACTACTGGACATGGGTGATCCTAATGAAACTCCAAAAAAGGAGTTCATGCAGGAAGAGCCAACAGATCTGATAAGAGGAATTGAAATCCAGCATCTATGCAAGGTACTGGCTCATATATATAATGTCTTTCCAAGGACTTAAGAATCAGCCCATAAAAGCCTGTTTTATTCTAACAGTGCTTACAAGGTACACTTTGTGACTGAGAATTAAAATTCTTTCTGTAATGCCATCCTCAGACTTAGAGATAGAACTTGAAATATCTTGTTCTGTTTCCTGTCGTGGAGTTAAGTGACTGGATGGCCTGTCTGGTGATCTGTCTCTTAGAGGCAGTCTCCTCTCATACTGTAGTGCCAAACACCCACCATTGGAGACGTGCTGGAATTCAGCCATTTGGTGGGTAACTTATCTGTCAAATCAAACTAGATTTGACAGATTCCATGGTTAGCATATCAGTGCAGAAGGAGGTAAATGTCCCTTCACAGTGTCTGCCAGCCTTGCTCCACCAAGTGCCCTGTGTCAACTTAGGACTACAGTGACAGGATGTGAGTTCAGTGCCTTAGTATCCTGCAGAGCATGGGTGTTCTGTTTGAATGTCTGTTCTTCAATTATGAGGAAGTGGTGGGTATATTTATGTAATTTTTAAAAATAGTATTTAAAGTACTGGAGACATTTGACTTGGAAAACAGGTGACTCTAAGATTCCTTACCCAGATCAATAACCTCACATGGAAGAGGCAGGGTGCCCTTTCTCAGGGGCCTAGCTCAGTAAAAGGGCAAGGTCTAGTTCCAGATGTAGGGAGAAGATTGTTGTTTATGCTTAAGTACTTCATTCTTGAGTTCTAAGCCCTCTGTGGTTCTAGGTATCAGGGGAAAGGTGCCATTGAAATTGCTCCAGATCACCCTCCTCAGAGGCATAATAAAATAAGTCATTTCCTTTTAGATTCCCACTTGGATTCCCACAGATTAACTTTTGAGAGAAGTTGATGTGGGTATGCAGTTTGTTATAGTCTCTTCAGAAATGTCTCCTGCTTGGTGGGTGCTATTCTCAGCATCGCATATAAATAAATAAAATAAAGGTCCATCAACAACTAAAAAAAATATTTAAAAAAAATGCCTTCTGCATGTGTGTGTCACTCTGTCAGTCATACCTTGACCTTCCCACAGGTATTTTACAGAAGAGGGAATGCACACATAGCAGTCAAAGATCTGAGCATGAATCTGTACAGAGGTCAGATCACTGTTCTTCTGGGACACAACGGAGCAGGAAAAACCACCACCTGCTCCATGCTCACAGGTACCTGGGTGGGGTCAGCCCTCCTGAGGAAACACTGAAGAAATCATTGAGTAGGTCTAGATTTGGGGCTCCATCTTCCCTGTTAGATTTCACTGACATTTTGATAGTAAGCATTGTTTTATTGTTTGTTTTACCATCTATGTAATATCTGGTTGTTTAGTTTACTCTGCACCATGTTTACTTTGCCTCTTTTAGTCAATATGCAGAACTTAATTTCTTTACCAGGAGAAGTCATGAACACTGAATAGCAGTTAGAACCTTCCTGCTACAGAGAGGCGTGAACTAATCTCTTAACAAAAACATTACCCATTTATTTGCTTTCGATTGTCACAAATACTTTTAGACTGGTAACTGCAAAGTTAGGTATGATGGTGGATACCTATAATCCCAGCTACCCAGGAGGCTGAGGCAAAAGGATCATGAATTTGAAGCCAGCCTGGGAAACTTAGTAAGATCCTGTCTCAAACTTAAATGTAAAGGACAAGGGATGCTGCTTAGAGGTTGGGATTTTATCTATCATGTTTGAGACCCTGGATTTAATCCCTGGTACCTCCTCCCCCCAAAAAAAGGATACCTGGTGAATTATTTTAAAATGATTCTAATTTCAGAATAATTTATATACCTAAGTAATTATTTTACATTCTATCAAATAAATAATATTCTGTGATAGGAAAGGCAGCAGAATACAACAGACACGAGTATGGCAATACGTAAATCAATGGAAGTGTAACTGATGTGATTCTGCAATCTGTATAAGGGGTAAAAATGGGAGTTTATAACCCACTTGAATCAAAGTGTGAAATATGATATATCAAGAACTATGTAATGTTTTGAACAACCAACAATAAAAAAATTAAAAAAGAAAAAAAAGAAATTTGAAAAAATTTATGCAAGAAACATATTTATTGAGGGTTTAACATACATAAAGCCGTGAACAAAACCAATAAGATGCACTTCATGGAGTTCTTAAAGCCAACAGGTTCTCCTTGCAACAACAGAATACCATACTGTTGAGAAACTTCTAGCACTTAAAGTCTGGCTGCTGTGATCTCTTCACATGTTGCCAATATGAATGTATTCAGTCTTCCATCAAAAACATTTGAAGAGCAACCAAATAGTGACGCTTGGGGAGAGGTGCCTGTGGCCACCCCTCTTGTATTAGGACTTAGAAAGCCATCTCAGCCCAGTTTGTACTAAAGTGGAGGAACTCTGTGTGTGTAAAAACTGGGGACTGAGCCTGTCAGCTTTCTGGATAGGGTCAAGCAGATTCTCTTTCAGGTTAGGCCTTGCTGCTCCTGGAAGTGTGACCAGTTAGGGAGGGCCTCTCCCCTTACATGGGCTTGTGAGTTCCACACCATCAGGAGGGAGATCCAGCTATACCCTCTAGGGTGAGAAGTGTCAAGCAGACAAGTTAGGTACCAGATTGTTTAGGGAAGCCACCTGTTTGCTTCATCTCATAGACCCTTCCCTTATTGCATTCCCTTTTGATTGTCTCTAGTATTCCTCAAAGTCTGTAATTATCTCATTTATTTGTATATATGTGTTATTTCTTTATATCTGCCATCCCATTCTGCACCTGAGGAAACCTATTCTGTTAACTTCTGGATCCATAATTCCTAGATAGTGCTTACACTGCATAGGTACTCAATAAATATTATAAATAAATGACTAAATTAATCCATTAACATAATTGCAAATGCTGCCAAAAAGCTATGAATGCTATATCAGAGAAGCCCCACCACAGTTTCTACCAGCATGACATGGCATAGAAAAATGTTAACCCTGCCCTGGTGAAAGTGCAGCCACTAAGACTTATACGATTGGATTCAGGACATCTGAATATGCTAAGCTGGGAAGAAAAGTCTGGTTGCTTGCCAGGAAGACTAAGAGCAAAGGGCTTCCATATGGTAATTGTTTGCAAAAAGGCCCCAAACCTGGCACTGGCATGTTTAATATTTCAGACCACATTTCTCTGCCCAGTAAAGTTATTTGGCTTTTGAATTTTCTATAAGTTCTTCTGTTGTAACTTTATATAAAAGACTTGTTACAAGTTGCTATAAAATAGTATCACTTTTTTCCCCCTTTTACTTTCCAAACAATCATGGATACTTTATTATATACAGCCAAGGTGGAAGATCCAAACACCCAGCAGCTGGTAATGTAGCAGTTAGTATCAAAAACCTTTAAACTCTTGCCTTCCTTTTGGCTTACCAAATCTAATTATACTAATTTAGAATAAGGAGATAAGTAAGCAAAATTTTCATGTATGTTTATGCTCATGAAAAGTTGCACATAATACAAATATCCGTAGGTCTGGGTTGAATAAATAGAGTAGATTTGTAACAATGAAATCCTTTTAGCACTTAAAATTGATACAGATTTTTTTAATGGAGATAATTTTTTTAACCTTTATTTCACTTATTTATTTTTATGTGGAGCTAAGGATCCAACCCAGGGTCTCACATGTTCGAGGCAAGCGTTCTACCGCTGAGCCTTAACCCCAGCCCAATACAAATGTTTTTGATGTGAACAAAATGAATTCAACCATACTTTGTTATATTTAGAAAAATGTTAAAAACAGAATTTGTATTTTCCCATTTTAATTAAAAATTAATTGTGTGAATGGGGTAGTACCTCAGTGGTACAGTGCCTAGCATGCTGGAGGCCCTGGGTTCAATCCCCAGCACTGTAACAAATAAATAAATATGTGAGACTGTATGCATAAAAAATACCTAAGTTTATACAGCAAAATGTTAACATAGAATTATCTTTTAATGATGGCATTTTTATAACCTTTGCTTTTTTTTTCGGGGGTCATACTGGAGATAGAACCCAGGACCACTTGTGCTGTCAAAGTCCTCACAATCCAATCATTTCCCAAAAGCCCTGTCTCTTGAAACTTGCTGTACTGGGGACCAAACCTTCAACACATAAGACTTTGGGGGGACATTCCAAGTTCAAACCATAATACTGGCATATATTTGGCAGTGTGTGCAGTTATTCATCGATGATATTTTGAGGGGATCAGAGATAAGTACAGATCTTGCCAAGCATCTTAATTCAAAACTGTTAGTTTCTCCAAATGCTTTTCTCTTTCACCATATTTACTATTCATCCAAATCACTGTTTATTCCTTACAATAATATGATTTGCTTCACAAGCGCCTATGTTGTTTTGTTCACTTAACCAGATTGATTCTCAAAAGCAGGAGGAAGAATGACATCTCCTATTTCTAATAATCTCCTCTTTCTAATAATCTCCACTGTCATACATATTCATTGGATGTTACTAGCTGACTGATGGTGGCAGAATAAGTAGAATAGGGACAGTCTGTTGGAGAACAAGCAAGTAAAGCAGGGGTAATTATTAGTCTTTTTACTGATGCATATGCTAATCAAAGATGACTTAGGGTGTCTCTTTCACTTTGTTCTAGGTCTTATTTCCCCTTCAAGTGGACAGGCATATATCAATGGATATGAGATTTCAAAAGACATGGTTCAAATCAGGAAGAGCATAGGCTGGTGCCCACAACACGATATCTTATTTGATAACTTCACAGTAGCAGAACATCTTTTTTTTTATGCTCAGGTGAGTTGGAAAATAACTGGAATGTTTCTACTGTTCATTCTTGACAATGGTGAGATATACTGTAGCTCTCTGATTCAGCCTGGGAGAATCTGTTAGGAGAAAACTCATGTTTCTTTACTCTCAATACTTCTACACAAAACATGTGGGTGGGGTGGTTCCCACACCAGCCAGTTCTCCAAAAATCAAGTAGGTATCCTACAGTTCTGATTCTAACTACCCGGAGGCAGTATAGACCCTCCCCCAACCCCGGGTTAAGGGCTTATTCTCACAAGATTGCCCACCCTCCACTTCAGATACCAATTACAAGTTCCTGTCACCCATACTTGGGGCCAGCTGGCTGTCCATCAAGGGTTCCCACAGACCCCTCCTCAGGTTCAATAATTTGCTATACCAGCTCATAAAACTCAGGAAAACATTTACTTATGTTGACCAGTTTATTGTACAGGGAATTATAAAGGATACAGATGAACACCCAGAGGATATTCAGAGTAAGAGATGTGGTAAAGTATGTGTGGCACACCCTTTTAGCACAATACACTCCTAGCAGTTTAAAATGCTCACTAATCTAGAAGTTCTCCAATCTCCATAACCTAGAGACTATTTATTTGGGCTTTATTATGTAAGCATGACTGATTATTAGTTCAATCACCAACCTCTTTCCCTAGTCCCTGGAGAATACAGAGTGGGACTGAAAGTTCCAAGTAGGTAATCATGGCTTGGTCATTCTAGTGACTAACCCTCATCCTAAGGTTGACCAGGAACCAACAGAGTCATCTCACACAGGTCACGGTGTGTGGCTAAATATTAGACTAAATATTAGAACTAGAATGAGGATACCAGTTCAAGGCAACTTAGTGAGACCCTATCTCAAACAATTTTTAAAAAGGATTGGGGAAGGTAGGGGTTATGGCTCAGTGGTAGAGTGCTTGCCTAGCATGTGTGAGGCACTGGGTTTGATCCACAGCACCACATAAAAAATAAAATAAAACAAATAAAATAAAGGTATTGTGTCCATATACAACTAAAAAATATTTTTAAAAACGATTGGGGATGTGTCTCAGTGATAAAACACCCAGGTTCAATCACTATTACAAAAAAAGTTACCTCGTTAAAACAAAAAACACTCCTGTAACCCAGAAAATTTCCAGGGATCTAGGAGCTGAATAGCAGATAAAATCAAGTATCAAGTCAAAGGCTAAATATTAGATTAAATATTAGAATTAGAATTATTAGAACTAGACTTCTTATCATTCAGGAAGTTACAAGGGCTTTGGGAGCACTGACTCAGAAAGCAGGGTAGAAATCAAATATGTATTTCTTTTCATCATAGTTTCAATAATGCTGGACACTATTCCCCAAATATTCAGAGAGGGGGAGGGGCATGATTTCTGAGTGAAAGGATTTTTAGAAACCATTATATTTATTGTTATATTTTATGGAAATAAAATTCACATAACATAAAAGTCATTATTTTACTCATTTTATAATATTAATTTAGTGGGTTTTAGTACACTCAGTTTTGTGCACTCACTACCACTATCTAACTGCAAAACACTTTCCTTTTTTTATATATTTTTTAGTTGTAGATGGACATAATGCCTTTATTTATTTTTATGTGGTGCTGGGGATCAAACCCAGTGCCTCACACGTGCTAGGCAAGTGCTCTAACACTGAGCCACAACCCCAGCCCCTGCAAAACACTTTCATCAAAGAAAAACTTGTACATTAAAATCACTCTTCATTTCTCTATTCCACCAGCCACTGGCAATCGCTAATCTGCTTTCTGTTCTACAGATTTGTCTTAGATATTTCATATAAATGCCATCATGCAATATGTGACTTATTTCATTTAGTATTATGTTTTTAAAGTGTATCCACATTTTATCCTGTATAATTAATACTTCACTTCTTTTATTTATTTATTTTTGCAGTACTAGAGATTGAATTCATGACCTTGCATATGGTAGGCAATTATTGAACTATATCCCTATCCCTTTTTTTCATTATTATTTCAAGATAGGCTTTAAGTTGCCCAGGCTGGCCTTGGATTTGTAATTCTCCTGCTTCAACATCCTGAGTAGCTAGGGTTACAGGTGTGTGCCACCAGTCCCAGCAATACTTTGCTCCTTTTAATAGCTGACTACATCTCCATTGCATGGTTAGAGCAACTTTTGTTTATCCACTCATCAGTTGATGTACATATGAGTTATTTCTACCCTTTGATTATTGTGAATAGTGCTTCTATGAACCTTGGTGTATAAATTTTTGTTTGAACGTCTGTTTTGGGTTATTTGGGGTATATACCTAGAAGTGAAATTCTCAAGTTGTGGTAACTATATGTTCAACTTTTTAAAAAAGAAACTGTCAGTGTAGTGGGTGTGAAGTAGTATCTCTGTGTTTCATTGCATTTCCCTGGTGACTGATGATAGTATCTTTTCATGTGTTTGTTGGCTGTTAGTATACTTCCTTGGAAAAATGTCCAATTTCTTTGCTCATTCTTCAGATGGGTTGTTTATCTTTTTGTAGTTGAACTTTTAAAAATATTTTTTAGATGTTGATAGACCTTTATTGGATTCATTTATTTATATGTGGTTCTGAGAATCGAACCCAGGGCCTCACACATGCTAGGCAAGTGCTCTTACCACTGAGCCACAACTCCAGCCCCTGTAGTTGAATTTTAAGACATATTTTTATTAGGAGCTAGATACTAGACCCTTATCAAATATATGGTTTGTAATTTCTCCCCCATTCTGTGCATTGTCTTTTCTCTTTATTGATGCTTTTTTCCCTTTTTGAGACAAGGTTTCACCATAACATGATCCTCCTGCTTTAACCTCCCAAGTAGCTGGGATTACAAACATATGCCATCACTCCCAGCAACAGTGTGTTTTTTCTCTTTTTCTTTTTGATGCACAAAAGTTTTACGTTTTGATATCCTCCAGTTTATCTAATTTTTTTTCATTAACTGTATTTTTTAAAACTATTGTCCAGGATCTCTGAGTGTCCAGAGTTTTTATTGGGGCTTTATTATATAGGCATGAATGATTGTATCATTGATCATGTGATTAAACTCAATCTCCAGTCTTCCTCCACTCCCCTGAGGTGGGGAGATCAGGCTGATATCATGTGTCTCAGAGCCTCTAACCAAATGGCTGGTCTTTCTGGTATAACCAGCCCCTATCCTGAGTCACCTCCCTAGCATAAACTCTGGCATGACCTGAAGGGCTCACCACAAGTAGCAAAGACACTGCTATCACTTGGGAAGCTCTGAGGATTTAGGAGCTTCCTTCCAGGAACCAAAGACAAAAGCCAGACAAATTCTTTATTATAAAACACATTGATTTTTCATGTGTTGAACAACCCTAGTACTCCTGAGATAAATCCTACTTGGTCATAATGCATTATCCTTTTAACATACTGCTGTGTTTATTTTTATTAAGTCATTTATTTACATAGTAAATAATATAATGCAAAAGTCTTTTTTTGTCTGTCCCTTTCCCCAAAAGTAGTAAGCTTCTTGTATGTTTTCCATGTGTATATTTTACGTATATACATACAAAATGTTGGTTGGGCAGAGTTGGGTCCCTTCTGTATCACCAGTCTCATCTCTTGTCCCCTGCCATTTCAGTTGAAAGGCCTGTCTCAGCAGAAGTGCCCTGAAGAAGTCGAGCAGATGCTGCACATCCTCAATCTGGAGGACAAGCGCAACTCACAGTCCAAGTTCCTGAGTGGAGGCATGAAGCGCAAGCTGTCCATCGGCATCGCCCTCATAGTAGGCTCCAAGGTATGGGACACTAGGGCACAGCTTCCACCAACACAGTGGACAGACACAGGGCAGCAGGCCCAGAGGCCTCAGGCTCTGGAACTTGAACCAGCTCTGCAAATCCCTGGACTCCAGCTGTGGGGTCCCACCACACAGGTCTCCCATTGTCACCAGGTTGTGCCTGTGCCCCCAGGTGCTGATGCTAGACGAGCCCACCTCAGGCATGGACGCCATCTCCAGGAGGGCCATCTGGGACCTTCTTCAGCAGCAGAAGAGTGACCGCACCATCCTCCTGACCACCCACTTCATGGACGAGGCTGACCTGCTAGGGGACCGCATTGCCATCATGGCCAAGGGGGAGCTGCAGTGCTGTGGGTCATCACTGTTCCTCAAGCAGAAATATGGTGAGCAGTGGGTGGGGGTGCCCAGTCTCAATCCCAGGATAGAGGTCAGCACTACTGTCTGCTTTGCCAAGAGGCACTGCCCACTGTTAGCCTTTGGGAGGGGCCCTGAGACCAGCAGAGAGAGGCCTCCTCTAGATTTCTGTTCTGTTGCCCCCATGGAGTGCTTCTGAAGATGAGGAGGGAATAATGTTAAAAAAATTTCTGAGGGGCTGGGGATGTGGCTTAAGCGGTAGCACACTTGCCTGGTGTGTGCGGGTGCTGGGTTCGATCCTCAGCACCACATAAAAATAAAATAAAGATGTTGTAACTAACGAAAACTAAAAAATAAATATTAAAAAAATTCTCTCTCTCTCTCTCTCTCTCTCTCTCTCTCTCTCTCTCTCTCTCTCTCTCTCTCAAAAAAAATACTGAAACTTGGAGTCAGAGGACCTACATTTATGTTTCAGTTTGCTGTTTGATTGCCTTCTTTATCCATCTGGCCAAGTTAGTTTATCCTTTCTTAGCCTTGGTTTTCTAATCTATAAAAAGGAGATTAAAATATCATGTTCTTCAAAGAGGAAAAGTGTGTGAGAAAGCACTATACAAGAGTGAGCTGTTAGCCAGGCACAGTGGATAACAGCTGTAATTCCAGATGCTTGGGAGGCTGAGGCAGGAGGATCGTGAGTTCAAAGCCTGCCTCAGCAAAATCAAGGCACTAAACAACTCAGTAAGACTGTCTCTAGATAAAATACAAAATAGGGCTATGAATGTGGCTCAGTGGCTGAGTTTCCCTGAGTTCAATCCCTGGTACAAAAAAAAAAAAATAGCTGTTACTTCCACAACTGATTGTTATCCTTGCCAGTGGCCCACTTCAGACATCCTTCTATTGACCCCATGCTCACTTGGCTCCTTACATGTCTCTGGTTGCTCATTTGCATCATTCCTAACTCTAATCATCTCCATCTCTTTTCTTTCTCTACTTACCAACTTTAATGTCTCATTCAATCTCTTGGCATTAAACACCTTCTATCTCTTAAGATGTATGTCTCTAGCTTCAACCTCTCCTGAATTTCAGGTCTATATATCTAATTGCCAAGCCTGCAACTCCACTTATACATTGTCCTAGTCCATTTTCTGTTGCTATATCAGAATACCTGAGACTGGATAATTTATAAGAAAAGAGGGTTATGGTTCTGGAAGCTGGGAAGTCCAAGATTGGGCAGGAACATCTGGTGAGGGTCTTATGCTGATTTAGCTCATGGCAGAAAGCAGAATGGCAGGTGGGTGCTGTGGAATAGAAGCAAGAGAAAGAGGAGGAAGCTGAACCTGATGTATAACAATCTACTGTCTCCATAACTTATCCACTCCCTTGAGAGTGAGAACTCATTCCCAGAAGAAAGATACTAATTCAACTGAGGGCTCTACCCTCATGATCCACAAACCTCTTGCTAGGCCCATTTCCCAACACTGTGTATTGGGATACCAAGCCTCCACATGAGTTTTGGTAGGGATAGACCATATTCATACCATAGCAAGTATTGATGGACCTCTCAGACTTATGCAAAGTCTAGCAAACCTGAGATCCTGCTCTCTCCCACCAAACCTGTTCCTCTTGCAGCCTTCATCTTCTCAGAAAAGGCAACTCCACTCTTCAAGGTGCTTGGTGAAAACCTGACCCCTGGTTTTCTCACAGCCCATCTATGATGCATCTGCAAATCCTCTTGGTCTTACCTTCAGAATATATCTGGGTTCTTTCCACTTCTCCTACCTCTGAGCATGTTTTAGCACCCTGATCCAGGTCACCATCTTCTCCCACTTCTATTATTGGGATTGCTTCCTAACCCATCTTCCAGCCACTGCTGTTGCACTTCCTCACTCTGTTCTGAACCCACTTGTCAAAAAGTGAGCACTTGTCAGTGGCAGTTGTGCACACCTTTAATCTCAGCGGCTTGGGAGGCTGGGGCAAGAGAATTGTGAGTTCAAAGTGAGCCTCCTCAACTCAGTGAGGCCCTAAGCAACTCAGCAACACCCTGTCTCTAAAATATAAAAAGGGTATGGGGATGTGGCTCAGTGGTTAAGTGCTTCTGGGTTCAATCCCTGGTACCAAAAAAAAAAAAATGTGAACACTTGACAGAGCAAACTCAGAACCTCCAGTGACTTCATGTCCCACTCAGAATAAAAGCCAAAGTTTTAAGCTAGGCACAGTGTTACAAACCTGTAATTCTAGCTACTTGGGAGGCTGGGCAGAAAGATCACAAATCCAAAGACAGCTTGGGCAACACAGGGAAGACCCTGTCTTAAAATAAAAAATAAAAAAGGATGCGGTGTACCTTAGTGGTAGGGCAGTCTTGGGCTCAATCCCTAGTACCACCAAAGGAAAAAGAAAAAGCCAAAGTCCTGAAAGTAGTGAATAGGACCTTCCTGGCTTAGTCCTGTCACCTCTGTCCTTGTTTCCTAATACTCTCCTTTGCTCTTCTCCACTCACACTCCTTGCTAACTTGGTTCTCCAGACTGAGTGACTGTCCTCCTCAGGCCACTACCTTGTCATCCTTATACCAATGTCACTATCTCAATGTGGCTTTCCTTCATCATTCTGTTTAAAATCACATCCTGATACCCCCTGTTCCCTCTCCTCTTTATTTTTTCCTTAGCATTTGTCACTAGTACTCTATAAATTTTACTTATTTATCTTGTTTATTATCTGCCTCCTATTCCTTTAGTGAAAGCCCCATGAGATTAAGGATTTTTTACTGTTATATCCTTAGTACCTAGAAGATTGCCTGGTGTTTGGTCTCAAGAAATGTTTGTTAAATGAATACATGTCCAGCATGACAGTAAAAAGTGTCACTGATTTCTGAAAGAATGATTCAAATGCTGTGAAGTATGTATCCTCAAAACCAGGATGTAATTTTGATGCAGGTATCTTTGGTAATCATCTTAACATTCAAGGCCTCTGCCTTCCAAGTGTTTACTTCCCCCAGTTAGTTATCACTTAAAGGGAGTGTTGCCCTTAATGCAGTTGTCCTTCATATTGCCTGGCATTGCAATATATCACCTCCCTCTTCTGGAGCAGAAGGGAAAATTCCAGAATAGCATTACAGAACTTCTGAAGCCAACCAGTTCCTCATTGTTTAAACTTAACCCCACAAGGCTCTCTAGCGTCGCTTTCCCCCTGGAGCTGTCCCATTCTGAGCCACAGAAGACTAAATGTGGCCCAAGAAGAGAAGTATAAAGAGTAAAATGGTTTCATGGTCTTTTACGTGGTGTTTCAGGTGCAGGATACTATATGACTTTACTGAGAAATCCTTACTGTGACACAGAGAAGCTTTCTCATCTTATTTATCATCACATACCAAATGCAGTTTGGGAGTCCAGCGTTGGAGAAGAATTAATATTTATACTTCCTAAAGAGAGCATTCACAGGTATGCACTAAGAAGCTACCCATAGCCACAGAAATCTGTGTCCTTCCCACAAGCCCACATGCAAAACACACACATCCTTCCTAAGACTTCTCCCCCTCTCAAAAACTACATTCTGATATTGAATCCACTCAAGACTCAGGATGTCATTGTCTGCATCGTGTCTAGGTACAGGGTACAGATGAGACTTCTTAAGTGTGGTACTTGGATTCAACTCCTTGGGTATGATTCTTTTTTTTTTTTTTTTTTTTTGTACTAGAAACTGAACCCAGGATCACTTAACCATGGAGCCACATTCCCAGCCATTAATTTTTTTTTTAATATTGGGTCTTGCTAAGTTGCATAGTACCTGGCTAAGTTACTGTGGCTGGCTTGGAATTTGCAATCCTCCTGCTTCAGCCTCCCAAACTGCTGGGATTACAGGTGTGCTTCCACTGAGCCCAGGGCATATGATTCTTGATTTGAAGACCTTGAACTAACACAGAAGTTAACTGATCCATATACACCCAGTGCATTAACATGCAATGATGAGACAGAGGTAGGATAACCATAAGAGATACTACCACTAAGAAACAGGAAAGGGGCTGTTGCTGTGGCTTAGTGGCAGCACACTTGCCTGGCATGTGTGAGGCACTGGGTTCAGTTCTCAGCCAGCACCACATATAAATAAATAAATTTAGGCCTATCAATAACTAAAAAAATATATAAAAGAAAAATAAGAGGTACATAACAATTATTAGTCTGTAGCAATTTGTAATTCTAGGTGGACATGTATCACCAGTTTCTGTTTGTTTGGAACACAGTTCTGTTTCCTAGAAAGAATTTTGTTTTTTAAAATTTTTTTTCAAAGATAGACACAGTATCTTTATTTATTTTATTTATTTTTATGTGGTGTTAAAGGTAGAACCCAGTGTGATCAAGCACATGTGTGAGGCAAGTGCTCTATTTGCTGCTGACTCTACCTCCTGAATAATACTATTTTTCCTTAAAAAAAAAAAAAAGGCTGGGTTGTGGCTCATCAGTAGAGTGCTTTCCTAGCACATGTGAGGCACTGGGTTCAGTCCTCAACACCACATAAAAATACATAAATAACATAAAGGTGTTGAGTCCATCTACAACTAAAAAAAAATATTTTACAAAAGGACTGATGTAGGCAGCCAAAGGGGCACTTAACCACTGAGTCACATCCCCTCCCTTTTTTATATTTTATTTAGAGACAGGGTCTCGCTAAGTTGCTTAGGACCCTGGTAAGTTGCTGAGGCTAACTATGAACTCAAAACCCTCCTGCCTTAGCCTCCTGAACTGCTGGGATTACAGGCATGTGCCACCAAGAATTTAAATATATATATTTAAATTCTTTTAATCCAGTTTTTTATTTTAATTTTTTTTTTAATTTTTGGTACTGGGGATTGAACTCAGGGCCTTTTGCATTCGAGGCAAGCACTCTACCAACTGAGCTATATCCTCAGCTCCATTAATCTAATTTTTAAGGGTGCATTGTATTTGTACATAACAATGAGATTTGTTGTTACATATTCATTCAGGCATACAATACAACAATATAATTTGGCCAATATCATCCCCTAGTATTTCCCTTTCCTCCTCCCTCCCTCTGGTTTCTTCCCTTTATTCCACTTATCTCCCTTTGATTTTCATCAGATGCCCTTGCCTTTCTTTTTCAATTTCCTCTCTAGGTTTTATGTATGAGAGAAACATATGACCCTTAACCTTCCGAGTCTGACTTATTTCACTTAAAATGATGGTTACTAGTTCCATCCATTTTCCTGAAGATAACATAATTTTATATTTATTTATTTTTTAATATTTTTTTTGGTTAGACACAATACCTTTATTTTATTTATTTATTTTTATGTTGGTGCTGAGGATCGAACCCAGGCCTCACGCTTGCTAGGCGAGCGCTCTACCATGAGCCACAACCCCAGCCCAATTTTATATTTCTTTATGGCCAAATAAAACTCTATTGTGTATATATACCACATTTTTTTTTATCCATCAACAGATACCTAGTTATTGTGGACTGTGCCACTATGAAGTATGCATGTATAGTGTGCAGATATTAATTCTTTAGAATAAATACTGAGGAATAGTGTGGCCTAGATTTTATGGTGATTCCATTTCTAGTCTTTTGTTTTGTTTGACACCAGGGATTGAACTCAAGGGCACATAACCACTGAGCCACATCCCCAACCCTTTTTAAAAGAAAATTTTAAGGGCTGGGGTTGTGGCTCAGTGGTAGAACACTTGCCTAGCATGCCTGGAGCACTGGGTTCTATCCCTGACACCACATAAAAATAAACAAAAAATATTTTAAAAAAGAAAAGGAAAATTTTAAAATCTTGAGACAGGGTCTCACTAGGTTGCTTATAGCCTTGGTAAGTACCTGAGGCTGGCTTTGAACCTGTGGTCCTCCTGCCTCAGTCTCTCCAGCCACTGGGATTACGGGTATGTGTCACCATATCAGGCTCCATTCCTATACTTTTGAGGAAACTCCATACTGATTTTCATAGTAGTTGTACTAACTTACAATCCTATCAAAAGTGAAGAAGTGTTCCTTTTTCTCTACAACTTCTCTACCATTAATTATTGTTTGTAATTTTGATGACTGCCGTTCTGATTGGTATGAGATGAAATTTCAGTGTAGTTTTTTAAAAAATATATATGCATACAGTTTTACATATAATGCAGTATCTGCCTAGCATTGTAAGGCACTGGGTTCAATTCTCAGCACTGCAAATAAATAGATAAATAGATAGATAGATAGATAGATAGATAGATAGATAGATAGATAGATAAAATAAAGGTCAGTGTAGTTTTGATTTGCATTTCCCTGATTGCTAATGATGTTAAACATTTTTTTAATATATTTATTGGTATTTTTAAGACCATTGTGAATGGAATTGTTTCCCTGATTTCTTTCTCAGAAGATGCATTATTCATGTGTAGGAAATGTAATTATTTTTTGTGTTGATTTTATAGCCTGCTACTTTGCTGAATTTATTAGCCATAGCAGTCTTCTGGTGGAGCTTTTTGGATCTTCTATATATAAGATCATATCATCTGCAAACTGTAATAATTCAACTTCTTCTCTTCCTGTTTTGAGTCCTTTTATTTCCTTCTCTTGCCTAATTGCTCTGTCTAGAATTTCTAGTACTATATTGAATAGGAGTGGTGGGAGTGGACATTTGTGTCTTATTCAAGATTTTAAAGGAAATGCTATCAGTTTTTCCCCATTTACTATGAGATTGCCTTTGGATTTTCATATAGCCTTTATGATGTTGAGGTAAATTCCCTCATCCTTAGTATCTACAGTGTTTTTATTAAGAATGGATGCTGAATTTTGTGAAAGGCCTTCTCTGCATCTGTTGAGATGACTGTGATTTCTGTCCTTGAATCTGTTTATCCAGTGAATTACATTTATTGATTTGTTAAATCATCCTTGCATCCCTAGGATAAAACCAACTTGGTCATAATGTACAATCTACTTAATATGTTGTTAAATATGATTTGCTAATATTTTATTAAGGCTTTTTTAATCCAATTTCAACAGAGATATTGGTCTGTAGTTTTCTTTCTTGAAGTGTCCTCATCTGGTTTTGGTATGAGGGTGATGCTGGCTTCATAGAATAAATTTCTATTTCATGGAATAATTTGAGGAGCATTGGCATTAGTTCTTTAAAGATCTGGTAGAATTCAGCTGAGAATCCATCTGGTCCTGGGCTTTCTTTGTTGGAAGGTTTTTTTTTTTTATTACTGCTTCTATCTTGTTGCTGGTTATTGATCCTCTTTATTCAATTTTGGCAGGTCATATGTGTCTAGACATGGATCTATTTCTTTTAGGTTATCCAATTTATTGGAGTTTAAGTTTATTCAAAATAATCTTTAATGATCTTTCATATTTCTGTGATATCTGAGGTGATTTCTTCTTTCTGATTACTAGTTTTGTTAATTTGGCTCTTTTTTCTTTTGTTTAGTTTGACTATCTTATCTTTTCAAATACCCAATTCTGCATTTCACTGATCCTTTGTATTTTTTTCTTAATTTCATTAATTTTGGGCTTTGATCTTAATTATTTCCTTCTACTAATTTTGAAATTGGTGTGCTCTTGTTTTTCAAGGGCATTGAGATGCATCATTAGGTTGTTTATCTGGGTTCTTTATCATCTTCTTATGTAGGCACTCATAGATATAAACTTTTCTCTAAGGCCCATCTTCATAGTGTCTCAGAAGTTCTGGTATGTCATATCACTATTTTTCTTTGAGTCTAAGAATTTTTAAATTTCTCTCCTGATTTCTTCTAGCACCAATTTATTATTCAGAAGTGTATTGTTGTTCAGTCTCTGTGTGTTTATATGGTTCCTGTAGGGGTTTTGCTGTTGATTTTAAATTAATTCCATTATGATCAGATAAGATACAATTAATTATATCAAATTTTTTTGTATTTGCTAAGAGTTGCTTTGTGGTCTAAAATATGGTCTATTTTGGAGAAAGTTGCATGGATGTCTGAGAAGAAACCATATTTGTATATTGTTGGATTAAATAGTTTATAGATGCCTGTTAAATCCATTTGATTTATAATTTTTTTTTAGGTGTAAAGAGTCTTTACTGAGTTTAGGTTTGGATAACCTATCTATCTGTGAGAGGTGTATTGAAATTACCCAGCATTATTGTACTGGGGTCTATCTGAGTCTTTAATTTGAGTAGTGTATGTTTTATATAATTAGGTACACCAACATTTGGGGCATAAATATTTACTATCATTATATATTATTGTTGGACTGTTCCCTTTAACTGTATGAAGTGACTTTCCTTTTTTCTTCTGATTAACTTTGGCTTGAAGTTTGCTTTGTCAGATATGAGAATAGCTACAATAAATTGCTGTGATCTAGGTCTGGCATTAAAGTAAACAGAAGGTTTTGACTATGACATCTACATTATAATAACTGCAACAATATGAATGGTGGGTGTAGGAGTTATATAAGCCAA